GGCTTCCAAAATCCTGCTCTTGCTGCCGGGAGAAATAAATTGTAGCAAATTGTTTCTGCTGCTCTGATTGTCCCTTTTCTGCAGCATCTTTGCTTTCCCTGTTGATCCAGGGGATGGACAACCCTTAATTGCACAGCCCCTCCCTGAGCACCAGGGCAGGTCCCACTCGTGTCCGAGGGAAGGGGCCACGTCAGTTCTGGAGGCGTTTCTCATCTTCAGCAGCTCGTGGAGCCAAAATGCACAAGGATACATCCAGCCCCAGCTGAAGGAGCAGCATTTTCCCCTCACTGGCCTCCAAGGAGCCTCCAGAAGGACCTTCCCAGGGTCCTGTCCATAATGTCAGGTAATTCCCATGCAGAGGTTTGCAAAAGGGTAAACTCCCAACCACCAACCAGCACACCCACACTCTGCTCCCCATTTTCCAGTCTTCACTCTGACGGTTTTTCCCATCCCAACCCTTCTCAGCTGCTGTCTTGTTTTTTATTCCCTTCACTACAGCGATGCTGTAGAGTCCTTCCAGCAAGGATGGACACAAAATTCTTCCTTATGGACTCCACAGCGAGTTAATGGAGCTTAAACAGGACATTGTGAGCAGGGCATGAGTGAGACTGAGCACGAACAAAAGATGCTCCTCCATCAGCACAAATGAGGAACTGCCTCGCTGTGCCCTTTAATCAAATCGTTGCCCACAAAGCAGTGGTGTTTGCTTCTCTCATGTAAATTTGCCTGCAGCTTTCAAGCACCCTGATTAGTATTTGTAGCTTCGAAGGTCTCCACTTAACTGTCCTGTTTGCCATTCTTCCTCCTGGTGTTCCTTGATGGTAGAGATGTTTCCATGTCAACAGGGTGATCACCTTGAAAAATTAACCACTGCCTGAGAAATAAAAACACAGAGAGCCTGGTGAACTTCCAAGGGTATTTTACAAGGACCTTTTTCCCATCAGGAGGTCACTGTCAGGGTGATAACATGTGATGGTCAGATTTGAAGCATTTTGAGGTTCAGAAAGAGAGTTTGGGCAGCCTGGGCAGAGGTTTTGCTTTCCATGACAGGCAGATTCGAGGGCAGCAAAGGCACCGCCTCCCCTGCAGGGCTCTGGTGGGGCTGTTCCAGATGCTTTGCTGATGGACTGTGGAGCTCCCTGAGCTTGCAACTTGCTTGTATCCTCCAGAGACATTCATGTTTAACCATGAAGAAACTCTTTTCACATTCTCCAGTTCCCTCTGTGAGAGTGTGGAGGGTTTTCCCATGACCATCACGTTGCTGTTTCAGCAGCACACCTTGGACTGTTAAATTCTGCTCTGGTTGAACATCAACCCGTCCCTTTGGCAGCTCTCACTGTTCTCTGCCTGTAATAAAACTAATATTCGATGGTGGTGCTGGTGAAAATGTCCCTGAAGTGTTCCTACAGAGAGCCTGCAAGAGAGATGGAGAGAAACTTCTTACAAGGGTGTGTTTTACGTGAGAATGACAGGATAGGTGAGGATGGCTTCAAACTGAGAGAGTGCAGCCTTAGATTATGTGTTAAGATGTTTTTTACCGTGAGGGTGGTGAGGCACTGGAACACATTGCCCAGAGAAATTGTGGCTGCACCATCCCTGGGAGTGTTCAAGGATGGAGCTCTGAGCAACCTGGGCTAGTGGAAGGTGTCCCTGCCCACATCAGGGGGTTGGCACTGGATGATCTTTAAGGTCCCTTCCAGCCCAAACCATTCTGCGATTCTGTGATATGACCACGAAGTCTGGTGGGGCTGAGCTGAGCACTGGGGGCTGGTGGCTCTTGATGGAACAGTCACAAGCTCAGAAACCTGTTCATGGCTTTGAGCAAAGTGCTCCACTCAGGCTCACTGGCACGTTTTACTCACCCAGCTGCCTCTGCCAGGGAAAATTATATTAAAAATATAGATAGACATGATAAAGATAGATACAGATTAGATATAGATGTAGATTAGATACAGATATAGATAAATAGATATGAAAAGACCGGAGGGTTCCCTTCACTGCCTAATTCTTCCTGGAATGCTGCTCCTCCAGTAAAACCTACCCAGGTCCTGGGCAAGGAAGGGCAAAGAGGAGCTTTTCAGCAGTTCATAGTGGGGCTCTCCAGGCCTGTTTCTGTTTCTCTAATTCATCTTCCCCACACATTCCTGCAGAGCAGCACTCACGTGTTGCTGCCCACAGAAACAGGCTGCTTTGGTAGCTCCTGGAGGGGAAAACTATTTCTGCTATGTGGCCCCTGACATGTCTTCCCACAGCCTGGGTGGATCTGTCTCTTTGCTGTAGCCATGAAGTTGACCTCTTATCACCACTCACCCATTGCTTCAGGCTGTTTGTACACTGCTTTTTAATTTATTGGGCTCTGCTCGTGTGACTCAGCCCCTCAAAGAGACACCAAGCATCAGACCCTGATGACCAGTGGCTCTGGCTGCAGCAGTGAGGTTTAATGTCCTTTTATTTGTCTCTTGTACAGCAGCTCAACCCATTATATGTCACTAACAGGTTAATATTTAAAGGAATTTTATCCCTGGATCAGCTGTATTTCCAGTGAAATGCATCCTAGCCCAGAAATCGTTTACATATGGGTAAGAAATTCATAACTCCTTTTTATCTCTAACATACTCTGTCCCTGCTGAGTTGATTCTTTAACTCCCAGAGTGGTTAATTGGGAATCTACCACGAGTTCCTGAGCCTGCCCCAATTCCTGTGTCGCAGTGATCTCCCAGAGAAAATGTAAAGCTCTTGGGGAATTTCTTCCCTCTTCTCAATAGCATTAAAAAACCTGTTGTGGGAAGGACGTAAATTGGTGAAAGGAGTGTGGTGCTGTGAAAAACAATGGGTTTCTTGGAGTGGAGGAGGCAGAACCAGGAGGGTCCAGAATGACACTATCTCCCTGTTCCCCTTCTTGGCAGGAGGAAGAGGATTCCTCATCCATAATCGAAACCACACTCATCTCCCTCTGACCAGCACTTGCGAGTGGCTGCAAGCCCAGGCTGGGATTCAGAGCAGCAGAAGGGATGGATCCCTTCCCAGCTGTCCATATGGCGCTGCTGCCTGATCCCCTGTCAGCTGGGAGGTGGAGGTGTTTGCACAGGTCTCCGCAAACAGCACTGACCTGACGGTGCCAGGTGGAGACGAGAGCCACGAGCCCCTCAGCCCGTGGGCAGGACGTGGCACGGGGCTGGAAACTGCTTTTGAGTGCAGAGATGCTCCTGCTTGTGCCACCGCCCCGAAGTAGCTTTGCTTTAGCGGTCCCAGCTCACTGCAGTGAAACAGCAGCTCGGTAAAATCACGTCCGGCATTCCCCCTGACTCGGCAGATGTTGGAATTTGGCATGGAAATGTGTTACTCCCAGTTAAAGAGAATGCATATGATTCACGGTTAATGCTGCTATCTGAAGAATTACCTCATTCAGACAGCTTTTCTTTGGGCTTTGCAAGAAAACGTGCATGAAAAATGAGCACATCCTTTCTCTGTGCCACTCTATGTGTGGAATAACATTTCTTCTAAAAAGGAGAAAGCGATTTTATTCAGGAAAACAAATGACTGACAAGTTTCCACGGTGCTTGTGCACACATGTTCTCTCCAACATTTATCCAGGACCACAGTCTCCCCCCCTCTCCCAAAATCCATTAGAGATCTGGTGCTTGAGGAAAACTCCCCCCATACGGAGAATGCACATTGTTGTATGCATTGAAAAATCTAAAGTTTCAGGTGTAGATTATCTGAGCTGATAGCCATGCAGGCAATATCAAATTTCTATAAGCAATTTCGAGACAAAAGCTCCCTTCAGCCAGCTCGGTGATCGGGTTTCCTGTGTGTTAAGTGCACGCACACAATGGAACATTGTTTTAAGGTCTTTTTGTGCAGCATATTAACTTATCAATGGAAATTAAAATACCAATTTTAAAATCTCAAATTTGAAGGAAAAAAATTAAATATTTATGTCTGCAACCAGTATTATGGCATTCAGGATTTCTTGCTCATGAACTAACCTTTTCTGTAGAAATGCATTTGAAATACATTTCCACAAAACCCAGTCAAGACGACTTTTCTGGAACTGGTGAGCACAAGGATATCCAGTTAAGGACCAGAAGGATGTTCTGCATGGAGTGACTGGGTGTTATCAAGGTATAAACCATTAGATTTGCTAATTAGAAAGTGCCACATAGGAGGCACAGCAGCCAAGCTGGGCTCAAGATCAGGTATTCACCAAGCCCAGCCTTCAGTGTCAATCAGAAAGGTGTGGTAGCAATTCCCAGAAAAGGGTTTGAGATCAAAACTGAAAGTGTATTTATGCTGCTGAGTGTCTGGTTCTTCCCTGTCACTTGTTGTCCTGGCTGTGCAGTTCAAAGACTTTACACAAAAATAATTGAGGAGGGTGAAAAGAAGCATCTTGCATGAAAGGGGAATAAAACAGAATTGGGGTCTTGACTCTGGGAAAGACAGGACAGAGGGAGAAGCAGGTAACAGATGTATAAGAAAATTGTGAATGCTACGTAGAGGTAATGGGGTGGGGGCAACTCTTCACTGCTTGCCAAAAAAAAAAAAAAATAAATGGGGGGGATCTCCTGAAATGAGAACAGAAATTGGGAGCATGTCCTGAAATGATGAAGCAGTGACTTCAACAAAGCAAACAGAGATGTTTTTCAGTTGATTACGGCTGTTACACTCTTTACCTCTGGACTTAACATCTTTAATTTGCGAGTTTGCACCGCAATCCTTGTGTGTTTTTCACACTGAACCCTCCCCGTCCCCCGCTGCCGGCCCGCGGAGCGATGCTGCCCCTGGGTGCGACCACCCCCGGAGGGACGAGCATCCCTCTCTGTGCCCTCATCCCTCTCTGCCCCCCCATCCCTCTCTGCCCCCGTTCCCGGCGCTGCCCCGCGGCCCCCCCGGGGCAGAGCGGTCCCTCCCCGCCCCGGCCGGGCGGTGTCTCCGCGTTGCCTTTAACTGCGCTCGGTGATGTCACAGCGGTGGAAGCCCCGGGCGGGCGCGGAGCTGCGGGACCGCGGGGATCCCGCACGGCGGAGACACCGCCGGGGACCCCCCCGAGCGCAGCATGGGCAGCCTCCAGCTGCAGGACTTCGTGGCCGGCTTGGTGGGCGGTGAGTGATGCCGCGGGCTCGGGGGTGCGGGCAGAGCGGGGGCACGGCGGTCGTGCCAAGGGATGCAGCCCCCCCGTGTCACCTACGGGCTGTGCCTTCTCCGCCCGGGGTCTCCCGCCCTTTGCTTTGCTTTGCTTTACTTTGCTTTGCTTTGCTTTGCTTTGCTTTGGCTCAGAAGCGCCGTTTTCGTCCCGTTTCCACGGGCGGGATACTTAAAATTGAATTTTCCGAGAGCGTGGTGCTGCGGTGCGGGGGCGACTTCCAGAGCCCCCCGCACACCCCCAGCCCCGGGAGGCTCTCCCGTCCGTGTCCCGTGTCACGGGTGAGCTGCCAGTCGAGGTTAATAAGTGAGCTGTCTCTGAAAAACCCAGAACCTCTGCCAAAGGCTTAGGTGAGCAGCTGATTTTTTCTTTTTTGGATCTCTGTGGCCTGTGTCAGTCTGCCCCACTGACCTGTGCTGTTGCTGCACATCCCCAGGAGTGGGACAGGATGTCCTGGGGGTTGAACAGCCACCAGCGCTCAGCAGTGGTGGCAGCTGACAGTTTTCATGTGTAGCACTGAACCACAGGTGGTCTCAGATCCAGGAGGAGAGGGGACATTTTAGAACAGATTTTTGAGTAAATCCATAATGTATTGAGTAAGGACATGATGCTCCTTTCAGTACTAGTCCAGTATGGGTGAGAATTTTCATGTAGTCTCCAAAGCACTCGTGGGCACTGGTTTGCACAGAGACTTGCTGATGAGGAAGCATCACAAATTACCCACCATCTCCACAAACCCTACAAACTGCCAGTGCTGTTTGCAATCATTCCCTGGGGAATGAGGCTGGATGGGACTCTAGGGATCTATACAGAGCAAGATCCTCTTTGTTTGAATCATTCCTGACAGATACCTCTACAAGCTTCTCTTAAAACAGCAAAGGAGGAGGGAGGGGCTCACAGGTCCCATTAGCAGTCAGCTCCAGGACATCTCTCTCTGAGCCAGGAGAAAGCATTTCCTTGTGTCTAACCAGAATCTCACCGTTCTGAGGCTAAAAATCTGTGTGAGCCTACAGGAATGCAAGAGGGGCTGGTCATGGGCAGGACAGACAAACACAACACCCCCTTCTCTTTCTCAGATGCCTTTGAGATGTAAAGCTGATGGAGTCCAGGAGAGTGGACACAGAAGGATGTGGAAGTGCCTCTGCTCTGCTTTTACCTGTTGTCAGGGACAGGGCACTCTGCTGGTCATTGCCCTGGTTGGGCCCCTTGCAGCTGTGCCCATGGAAATCTCTTCTGCAATAAACCCATCACAGCCTGTCCTGTCACAAAAGATTCTTCAGTGTTTTGTGTAATGCTTTGTTTCCATCCCCAGGAATCGCCAGTGTGGTTGTGGGCCATCCCCTGGACACGGTCAAGGTAAAACACTTTGAGCTGGGCTCTCCCCTCACCACTCACTCACTCTATCTCTAGATGATGCTTCCAAGGACCTTCCCTTACCCCAAGGGGGAGTTTTTAGCCAGGGTAGAAATGTTTTCATAGACTTTCCTCCTCTCCAGTGCTCATTTTGGAATGAGAAACTAAAAGAACTGGCTGATATGGGCGAGTTCCTGCGTGGAGGATTAGTGCTGAAAATTAAACCTGGCCCCACTTAATGTGTGGTTCACTGAACAGTTCTGCCAATGTTTTATTGAACTTTGCCACAGACAACCATTCAAAGGGCAATGAGGGAACTGTATTTGTTTTGCTGCAGGCCTGTTTTTGTGTGTTTTCCTGGTGCTGGCAACGCTGGAAGGAGGGAGTGCTGAAATTCTTATCCCAGGGCTGTGGCACAGTATTTACAATTCCTACAAGACAAGCCCATGCACACACCAGTGCATCATGACTCAACCACGCTGACCATCCCTACTGACACAGAGATAGAGAGGAAGATCCTGTTCCTTTCTTGTTTTGTACAGGCATTTCTGGGCAGCTTTCATCAATTCAGCTGCTCTGCCCATGTTCAGCCTGGGGAATAAAGAGATCTTATTGTGGCCTTCCAGTACTTGCAGGGGGCCTACAAGAAGGACACTTTTCAGCAGGGCATGTTGTGATAGGACAAGGGGTAATGCTTTTAAACTGAAAGAGGAAGGCTTTAGGTTATATATGAGGAAGGAGTTTTATACAGTGAGGGTTTTAAGACACTGGCACAGGTTGCCCTGAAAGGTGAGTGGATGCCCCACCCCTGGAAACATTCAAGGGCAGGTGGGACGGGGCTCTCAGTAACCTGGTCTGGTTGGAGATGTCCCTGCTCAGGCAGGGAGGTTGGACTAGATGACCTGAAAAGGTCCCTTCCACCCCCAGCTACTCTAGGGCTCCCTGATTCTCTATGCCCTGACCTGTTCCAGCCTGGTTGATGGCACCAGGCAGGGCTGCCAGCTGTGGCAAACCCAAAACCCACTTTTGGACCTCAAAGCCCTTTGGAGGGTGATGGGGACGAGGCAAGGTCCAGCACAGCCCACCCCACATCCCTTCCCCAGCCACCCCAGCCATCCCCTTGCACACAGCTGGCTCTCCTCGGGTCAGCTGGCCAGCCCTCCCTCCTTCCTGAGCTTTTAAGGTGACCCCAGCCCCAGGAGCATCCCTGTGCACAGATGGGTGCACAGACCCCACCCAGGAGGAGCCCTGAGGCTGCTCACACACCCCAGGCATGGGCAGGGCACAGGCAGCACAGGCAGGCTCTGCCCAGGGCTGCCAAGGCAATGCCCAGCTCAGGCTGGTGGTCAGGGGGTCATTGCCAGGTCTGGGGGAGTTTGACAACAAAGATCTTTCTGGGAAACACCGAGTTTCTGCGTGCCAAGAAAGAGCAAGCCCATCCTTCAAGTGCTTATAAAGGCAACTGTCAGGCTGCCCCCACCCCCTCGTCGCTTTGCCCTGGGAATACCAAGCAGGCAGACTTGCTGTCTTTCCAAATTTGAGGGAAGGAAAGTGGAAAGGAGAGTTTTTACACAGCACTAAGCCAGCAAAGGGACTGCTCAGTTGCATCTGCAGCCTCCAGGGGATGTGGGGGGTCCTTCCCCACCTGGGAGAGGAGGCAAGGCTAAATGTGAGGCTGGGTGGGGTACGTGGTACCCACACCAGTTCCCATCCAGCAGGCTTCCTCCTTCAGCCTCCCCTTCCCAGCTTTGCAGCTTCCATCAAACTCCAGGAGCTGTTTTTTCCCACAGTCTCACAACTTTCTGCAGCTTCTGGGTGTCAACCAAGAGCTCTATCAAATCAAATCTAAACATAACAAAAAGGAGAATTTTCCAGAGGAATATCTGTTCTGGTAGCAGTTGAGTTTATCAGAGATGCCAGCAGGGATTTCAGCACCGGGTGTTAACAGATTAGCTAAGGAGTTTGTGTGCAAGAAGCAGATTGTGAGGACACTCAGTTGCCCTCAGTTACTCAAAAAATATATTAACTTGAACCTCGAAATACCTGGTTACTGTGTAAGAGAAAAAAAAAACCAAGCCCATGGAGGCAAAATGGAAATGTCTAGGCTGAGCGTTCAGGTGAAGCCAGGATGGAGTTCAGGTCTGGGCACTTCAGTCACTCTGTCCTGGGCTGCCTGGGCTGCAGCCCCTCCCCACTGTTCCCCCCATCCCCCTAAACCCCCGTGTGAGTCACAGAGTGCACATTCTGCACCCGTGGCCTGGGCCTGCCTGTGTTGCACAACGTGTGCTGTGTGAGCTGGAGCAGCATCTTCATGTACCAGCTTGTTCCTGGGGGCTCAGAAAATACCCTGCTGCCTTCCCCGTGGCCTCTGGCCTTGCAGGAGCAGAGCAGTGATGCCCCACGTGTGCAAACAGCTGCATGGAACCACCCCAGGGTGAGGAGTCACCTCAGCCTCGTGTCCCTCCTGCTCCTGCCAGGGCCCCACCTCTGGCAGGGCTCTGGGCCAGATGACTGTGCCATTCAACCTGCTATTTGGCATGCAAAAGGTCTCCCCAGGCATGGACTCTGGAGGACACACTCTCCTTTGGGCTTTAAATTCCCTGATGATAATTTCCTGCTTCACCCTGGTGTAAGTCAGGGCTGAGGGGAATGGGCACTGTCCCTCCAGATTTCATCTCAGCATTGCAATTCTGATAGACATGGTCAGAAATGCTGTCCCCACTCCCTAAAAACATTCCTGACATAGCACTTGTGAGTGTCTTCCTATAAAAAATGAGCTCTGGCCTCAACCAAGATGAGTTGCTGAAGCCCCAGGTGCTGTGAAGTGAACAGTATTTCCATTTCCTTGCACACCTCTAAGGCCAAAAGATGCATCCTTCATTAGGATGTTTTCAGTGCAAACTTGGGAGCAGCTTAAAGGGAAGATGATCTAAATATATATATGTGTGTATATATATAAATATATATAAAAATATAAATAAATGTATATAAATATATAAATATAAATATAAATATATAAATATGTATGAGTATGAGGAGGGGAAAGTCTGTCAAATCCTTCAGGCTTTGGCCATTTCTTCCAGCTCTGGGAAGGCACATAACCAAACTGCTTTCCAGAAACAAGATGTCTTTGTTGGGAATGATATGGAAATGCATTTTTCGAGTGAAGCATGGAGAATTCCTGAGATGATGCTGAGTTATTTTGGCTCCATTTAGTATTTCGATGCCTTAAAATCCACCTTGGGCCAGAAGGGCCCCAGGGCTCTTCCAGTTGCTCTTCAGCAACACATGCCAGCCTTCCCTGAGAGCCTCCAAACGGAGGAGACCACCCCACTCTCCAATTTCCACATAAATCAGGCCCTTGCCAGTGACAGCCCTGCACACCAGCAGCCTGCTGTGCTGGCTCAGGGTGGCTGCTCCATTTGACAGTCATCGATTCCAGATGTTGCCGAGAGCTTCAGACCTGGGAGACCCCGCTTTAGCCTGGCTTCTGGCAAAGTTCAGGGGGGTTAATGCACATATATCTGATTTTATTGCTCTGTTCTCTTTATGACTAAGGAAGGACTTGCTCTCAAAGCAAAGTACACATTGTTTACAGAGCACGAGCTCTTGTTGGGCTGGAAACGGGGGATTTTAATGGCCTTTTATGAATGTCTTTTGCAGACTCGTTTGCAAGCTGGACAAGGATATGGAAATACACTCAAGTGTTTTCTCACTGTGTACAGAAATGAGTCTGTAAGTGCTTTATCTTACTTTAAATGTGCTGGTAGAAAGTGCAAGTCAATAAACAGATAAATACATAAAGCAATTACACAAAATCGCTGTTGGCACCAGCGAGTATGTGAAGACCAATAAAGTTGGTGCCATCGAGCCTGCAAATCCCTGCAGCCTTCTCTTGCTTAACTCTAAAGTAACCCTCTTGGATACTCCTATAGGGAAAAGACAGACCCCTGGCATGGCATGATCAGTGTCTCCACATGGATTTAACATGTGGATTTAAGTGGCTCTTTGGCCTGATCCTGCTGGAAAAGGTCTCCCAGAGGGATTTTGCTGACTCTGGTGAAGCCAGGACAAGAAGCTGTCCGTGAGAGGGACTTTTACATGGGTTCCTGTGCTGTCACCATATCCTGTATTCTGCACAATCTTCATAGGTCTTTAGCAGCATGAACTAATCTCCTTTGCCCAGCAAAGTTGGTTCCAGGAGACATCTGCTGCTTGGATATGCATTTCAGCCCCATCCACGCCAGGGGTTGGGAACGAGGCGACCTTCAAGGCCCCTTCCAACCCAAGCTGTTCCACGATTCCCTAAGCCCTGCTCCTTTCCCTGGCTAGGTGACTGGCTTCTTCAAGGGCATGTCCTTCCCCATGGCCACCACAGGGCTGTACAGCTCGGTGGTGTTCGGGGTGTTCAGCAGCACGCAGCGGTTCCTGAGCCAGCTCCGTCACGGGGACGCGGCCGCCGCGCCCTCGCTCGCCGACATGACCGTGGCCAGCTCGGTGGCAGGGTTCGTCTCCGTGGCCATTGGAACTCCCGTGGACCTGGTAAAGATAAGGCTACAGATGCAAACACAGCCCTACAGCAAAGGTAGGAAGCAGGAGTTTCCCCTTCCTTTCGCTGCCGGTCCGTGGTGCTTTGGGATGGCTTTGCTCCAGGGCCCGGCTCTCTGCGGTCCTTGGGCTGATGCGACCGGGCTAAAAATTCCCCCTTTTGTCTCTCATCCTGTTCACCTCAAGGTGAACAGGGGTATTTTTTTATATCAGTGGCATTTCCAGGAACGTGGGGCAGGTTTGCTCAGGACCAGGAGCCGCAGGAACTGTGAGTGCCTGGGCTGTCGGGTGCCCTGGAGGTGCCAGCAGTAATGCCAGCTCCCCAGCTGGGCATGCTCTCAGTCTCATAAACCCACAAACCCCTCCCTGGTACTCCACCTCAACAGCAAAATTTCCCCATGTGCATTTGCAAACCCCTGACTTTTTCGAGGCAGGGTGCCAGGCAGCCCAGGCGTGGGCAGGATGGGTCAGGAGGGGACACTAGTAGGATGGCAGGGGGTGGCTCTACCCTGTCCACCAGCTGCAGGCAGAAGGAGCTGATTCTGCTCTAGACAGCAGCTGAATACCACTGCAGGATGGAATGTCCATTTTTAAAGCCTCCATGCAGCTTAGCAACCCAGTGCCTTTTACAGAAGCAACTTGCTCTGCCTGGGAAGGGCCAGACTCTGAAGATATCAAGGCTTTCAGTGAGGCAACCTGGCATCAGGTGTGGTTAAAATCCATGGAAAAAGGGCACATAGTCTTAAAATAATTTGGAACTCTCTCTGGGCACATACCTATGCCACACATCTGAGAAAAATCTGACCTGAGGTGTCCAAACACCTTTTGAAAATGGACTTAAGTACTCTTCCCAAAAACTTTTTTCCTGTGCTACACATTGATCCCAGGATTAAAAAATGGGATGGCAGCAACTCCTAATCAAAGGCAGTGGGCTCTGGGGATGGGTTCTGTGGCCATGTGTCTCTTCTGACAGTTGTATCTTTTTTCTTCTTTACAGCAAACGTTAAACTAAAGCCCACAGCTCCTGGATCTCCCATGTACCGAGGCCCCATCCACTGCTTTTGGACAATCCTACGGAAAGAGGGGGTAGCAGGAGTGTACCGAGGCATGGTGGCGATGCTGCTGAGGGATGTTCCCGGGTACTGCGTCTACTTCATCCCTTACGCAGTTTTCCTTGACTGGGCGACTCCCGAGGGGTGCATTTCTCCCAGTCCCTTCTCTGTCTGGCTGGCAGGGGGTGTAGCAGGTAAGCACCTTTCCTTCCTCACACCACCAGCAAAGCAAGGACGCAGGAAGGTTCTTGGAGCGATTCCGAGAGCGACTCAGGGGCCGCCGCATCCTCCTGAACGCCAGGAGAGGACACGGGACCGAGCGACCTTCCTCCCCAGGGCCAGGTCCCCTGGCACCACAGCTGCACTTTATGGCTTGGCAAACTTTATGGAAGTGTTATCAGACCTCCATCGGCCTCAATGTCAGTGAGGAGGAAAAAAAAAAAAGAACGGTGCCCTCATCTCCCCGGATGCCTCCGGGCAGCCTGGCTGGGACACTGCCAGTGGTGTGGCAGCCAAGATGCCACCAGAAGAGGACTTCAACCTGTTGGCTGCCCACCAGGAGGGTGTGCACCTACCCACACGTGGCAGAAGCCAAGTTGACTGTTACTGGTCGTCTTCTTTTCCCTTTTTTCCGTGTGTACACCTGCCAGTAAGACTGGCTTGTTTGTCCCCCACCGAGTGGGGGGTCACCCCCACACCCACTCCCCACTTCTTGGCCATTTCTAAATTGCAGAACCACAAAGGCAAGTCAGTCCTTAGCTCAGGTAATGATAACAAAACACCTTCTCCATTTCTCCTGGCCCATCTGGACAGCTCTTCTAGAGTGCCCCAGCACTCATATAGGTCCAAACAAACTCTTGCCTGTCCAGCTGGTCATGGATTGCTGATCTTTCCAGAGGCAAACCATCCCAGAAATGCTGTGTCTGTGCCTGAGCAGGGTGAATGCCCTGAAATGAAAATTGCATGAATATGATGTTGTAGATGAGAGGTGAATTTTGTGAGTTCACTGACCTGCAGCCAAGCAAATATAGAGAAGGAATGATTCAAATACTTCTGCATTTTTCTAGGAGCCATTTCCTGGGGATTATGCACTCCAATGGATGTTGTGAAGAGTCGACTTCAGGCAGATGGAGTTTATTTAAACCAGTACAAAGGAACCCTTGACTGCATCTTGCAGAGCTACCAGAATGAGGGCTTAAAAGTAAGTGATATTTGAAGTAAAATCTGGTTATCAGGCATTCAGTTGTCAATTGGAAAATGCAATGGCTGTTACAAACCTATCTGCAGGGTTGAGAGACAGCTAAACCCAGTTACTGCTAAATTATTTTAATGGCAGTAGGTAATTTTAGTGCAGATTCTTTCAAAGTCAAAATAGTGAGTAATGAGGGTAATAGTGTGCCTTACACAATGAAGAAATAAATGACTGGGGGTCACACACTGCTGGTGCAATTAACCTCAAATAACACTCCATGTCAGCGCACTTAATCATGAAATCTGATTTGACTTATCAGAAATCAGAGGTAGCAAATCTTACCTCGGTGTTTGCCTCTGCAGAATGCAGAGGTCAAACGTTTCTGGTGCCAATGAACCCATCCTGGTGGGGCTGTGCTGGCACCCTGGGGTGTGTGGTCACCGTGGGCAATGCCTTGGTGGAACTTTGGTTTTGCACAGCTCGCCCTCGTTTTTGCACCAAGACAGAGCTGATTGGAAACGTTCTTAGACCAGAGTTGCTTTGGTTTCAAACAGGAAGGAGGGCTGTGTGCCAAAAAAACTTATCTCCTCTTTCTGACTTTGTCTGTTGGTGTAATAAAAGATATCTGTTCTACCAGCAAACTTTGCTTCAGTTAAATGTGAGTGGCACAGAACGAGGATCTGCAATTTTATTGAGTTGCTGATAGAAACATCATCTTCTGACACTGAAATCAATCTGTGTTTGTCATCAGGACATCATGTGGCCTCTTAGCTCCAAAGTGCTGATTTTCACGTTCTGAGAGGGGCGTAACAACCTACAGACAGAAAAATAACCTGCAAAATCACAAGTCAGTGTGATTTCAATATTTGCCAGCGTGCCTCTGTGTTATGCCAGCTGTCACAGGAGCCTGTGCTCTGGTTCATTTTTTGCCCCTGCCTGAAGAAAGTCACACTGATGTGAAGCAAAAACACCTGGAGAGATGCTGAGGGCAGTCCAAGGAGGGACAGGGTGCCCAGGCTCTTCATTCCATTTGGTGTGCACTTACACAGCAAAACATGGGGTGGCTGAAAAGGGCCTTTCCACGTGTTTTCCCTTCTCTCTCCATCCTCATCACCTCCTTGTCCTGCCTGAATATGAACAGCCCCGGTGCTTGGGGGTTTTGGTTGGAGGTCTGAGCTGCCTGCAGATTTTGTGTTGTCCCACCTGGCACCCGCATCAAAGCCAGCAACAGGATTGAGTAATAGCTGATGGCAAGACTGGATCCTGCTCTCGTGAGGAAAATCTTTTGAAACGTTGGGAGCCACACCACTGACAAACAGCCAAAGCAGGGCTGGATGTTTTCATTCTGGGACAAAGGAACAGCACTCACAGTGCTGGAAATAATTGCCTGATGCACACAAAGAAATGTAAATATAACCCTTATCTTTTTCCACAGCCAGGTGTGTTCATTCTGAGGAGAGAAATGTATGCCTCTGGGCTTTTCATCCTAAATCTTCATTATTATTTAACTCGGTTCTCTTTTGTTACTTTATGGATAATTCAAAAAAATTGGTACAGAGTAAGCCTAGTTTTCTGCTGATTGAGAAATTCCTTCTGTGCTCAAAGGTGAAAGCTGAAAACCAGTCCCCGTGGCTCAGTGCCCACGGTCACACCGCTCCCTCTCCACCTGCCAAACACCTTCTGTGCCCACAGACCCAGCCCTGGGGGTCAGGAAAGTAACAGCCTTCCTGAACCCTGGGCTTTGCAGGATTGATCCCTACAGGCAAAGGGAAGGAGGGCCAGGCTGCACAAGGCTTGGAGCAACGTGGTCTAGTGGAAGGTGTCCCTGACCATGGCAGAGGGGTAGGGATATGATAAGGTTTAAGGTAGGTCCCTTCCAACCCAAACCAGTCTATGGTTCTGTCATTCTGTGATGGTACCAAGGTAGGACAACACTGGAAGACATTTTAGACTTCTTGCTTTCTGTTCTACACCAGTGGCATTTTTTCACCCTTTCCCACTTGTAGACCTTGCTGGTATGCACAGATGGGGGTCTGCAGGGAGCACAGAGCACAGTGACACCAAACCAGGGGCTTTTGCCGTTGCGTTTCCGCTCTCCAGTGCAGACCTCAGCCAAGAGCAGCAGTGAGAGCACATCTTCCAAGCAAACCAAGATGTGGTGCTTCGGAATCCCACCACAGCTTCATTCAGTGTTTTCTTCCCCTTCTTAAAAGAACCAGTATATTCCCATGCTCTAACCTTTCTTCATCCCCAACAGGTGTTTTTTAGGGGCCTCACGGTCAATACAGTGCGAGGATTCCCATCGAGCGCAGCCATGTTTCTTGGCTATGAACTTTCCCTCAAAGCAATGAAAAGAGGCCAAACTGAGACCAATCCCTGACTTCCAGGTCAGCACATAAAGACCCTTTAGCTTTGTTAAACTGAAAGGATTAACCTTTGAATCAAATAGAGTTGCAATTGCAATTGGGTACCTACACCTGAATAGCCAAACACTTTTCCATCTTGGGTCTGTTCAGAGCAGACGACGGATGTGCTGATAGGTTTTAGTTTCAGTCCAGCTCCCCTGGAACTTCACTGCAATATGTTCTGATTGTTGTGATTGCTTTGATTAATGTCAATCAGAAATGAAAATTTGAAAGGAGGTTTTTTCTCTAACGTTTTATTAGTTTTGAAATATTCTCACTAAGGTCCCTGAACAGTGTTCTTTCCTCCCTTGTTCCATCCACAAAGACCTGAAGTTAAGCCCTTTTAAAATGTCCTGACTGTCAAGTCACTGTGTCACTCTTTCCCTCATTAACCTAGGGTTGAACAAATATCTGATTAAAGAAACTTTTTTAGCAGATTAAAAGTAATTAAAGAACCTTTTTTTACTCATGATTATTCTTGGCCATCTTTGCTGTTTTCTGCAGTACTTCATAAATCTCCCTCTTTCTTGTTTCAAAAGTGTTGCCAAGAAGAACCAGAAAGTCCCCAACTTTCCTGAGCCAAATCAGCAGTGTGGTGTTGGTGTGGGCTCAGCTGCTCTGACCGAAGACTCCCCTTCTGCACCCACAGCACCTGCTGGGACTGAGTCTGGGACTGAAAATGGCACCAGCTCACTCAAACCCAAAGACCATTTTCTTATCAAATCCTTCACTCTCTTGACCAAGAACACCTCAGTAATTGGTGGGCTTTTTCACCAATGACATTTTTTCCTGTTGAGCCAGGAAAACAACTCACCTCCTTGTCCCAGGGGATGTATCCAAACCCAGCCTGTCTGACATCACCGAGGGAGCATCTTTTGTACAACGCTGCAGATAATGCTCATCTTTCGTGTGAACAAGGAGAGGAGGAGATGTGGTGGGTACACAGGTGCTTTTCCTGTAGGAAAAAGGGCTGGATTCCTATCAAATCCTGGCTTGTTTTCAGGTTTAAAGACACAGATGACTCCTCCTGTATAAACACACACTCGTGTTTTCCGTCACAGTTTGCCACAATGCAACACATTATTATGAAAAAACGTGAAGGGCTTCAACAACTTCAGTCTGTTATCCAAGTTTATGTATTAAACTGGGACACAGGAGGATGTTAAATTCTAGAGAACTAAGCTGCATTTTTATTCAGGAAACAATAAATCAAGTCTGCATTTCATGTAGAAGGCTGACTATTGACTCACACAGCTTGCCTGGTGCAGGCCTCCAGGGACCTGCTGGAGTTATCCCAAAAGACCTTCTGAGCTCCCTGACACGATGGTCCAGCTTGTCAGCTGCCAAATCCTGCAGACATCCCTTCCCAGCCTTGAAGAGACCCTCACCAAAGGAAGAGACTTTAATATACAGAACAACTTCAGACCTCCTGCCCTTCACTGCAGTCCCACTGAGAGCACTGGGGCAGAGCCAGGTCTCTCTTTGGTCTACCTCAGCCTTTCCGTTATTCCAAGATCTTTTCCACCGGGATTATTGCTGTTTGTGCTGTCGAATATCTCCGTGATTTATTTTCTAACCGTGGAGTTTTTGATGCCAAACCCCAAGAAGAACCAGCTGTGCTGGGAGAAGAGGGCTCTGGTGGCACTGGCAGGAGAAGCTGAGGGTCACATGCAGAGGGACACATGGCATGGGGGAACAATCAAGGACATCACTGTCCTCTGGAAAGTGTTCTGGAGGGACAGCTCTTCCTCTGGAGAAGGACCCTGGGGGAAAAGCCCATCGACCCTTCAATAAAGGTTTCTGAAGATAAATATGGAGCAGCCATCCAGCTTTCCTCCATAAAAGGAGGAGAAGGAAAGAGAAACTCCTCCGTCCTCTTCCCTGGATGAATGGAGGAATTGGAGACCAGACTTGAAGATCTCAGCAGAAAGTGCCTTAAACCTTGGATTTGGAGCAGTGCTCAGAAATGGAGTCACCTACTTTGGGCTTGTCAAATAAGAAACAGAGTGTGGGTGCCCCCAGAACTGGCCTTAAAAATTGGAAGAACCAGCAACAGCTGGTGTTGCTTCATCTCAGGGCTCACAGGCAAGGAGGCTCACAGTGCCTTTGACCCTGGTGAGAGCACAAGGAACTGTTTTTGATAAACAGTATGGATAAAAATTGATGAGCCTTCACACAAGTATTTGTTGCTGGCTGCACTTAAGGTTTCACCCTTTCCACGTTGCCTATTTTTGTGCATGTATGTAAAACATGTTTTTTAGATGGATAATATCATGTGTCTCCAGGGATAACACTGTTTTTTTCAATGCAAATAAATGGTGTTGTTTATGTGCCTGCATTATGTAAAAATGGCCTGTGAATCGATTAAACTGATCAGGTTCACAACAAGCTGTGCATCTGCACAATCCTGCCCTCCTGGTGCCCAGGGTCAGCCTGTTCAGTGCCCCCTGGGCATAAAGCCCCGAGATCCACGTTGGAGTTGCATGGTGATTTTTCCTGTTATTATTCATCCAGTTAAACCAGTTTTGAGATGGGTGCCCAGGATTTTTTGGTGGGCAAAGCTCTTGTGTGACACACACCTGCCAGAAGGAGCTGTCAGGGCGAGCTGTGGGTAACCTGGTGTGGAAAGGGAGCAGAGGGCAGAAAGCTATTTGATATAATATAAGTATGTATGAGAGAATATCGTATAAAAAACACGAAGAACAACTGGGAATTGGATATAAAGCTTTGGCCACTTGATGGCATCCTCGTCCCTGTCAGGGCATGGCGTGTGCTGCTCAAAGGAGCTGCCCGGCAGGACTCGGTGTCTTGCTCTGTTCAACTGGCAGACCAGCACACACTCCCTTCCCCCTGGGCACCCTGGACGTCCTCTGAGTGATTTTGGGGTGTCTCTGCCCTGCCAGTGGCTGCCCTGGTCCAGCAGCACGGGAGATAAGCCTTGGACACCCCGGTTAATCAGTGCATCAGCCCATCGGTGTTCACAGAGTGAGCAAAGCAGCACCAGGCTGGAGCATGAGGGTTTCAAGGGGGATGGCAGCCCTGGCCACTGTGCAGGAGGTTGGGCCGCCTCTGGGTCACTGCTGGGGACCAGGGACACCTTAGGGTTGGGCCAAGCAGCTTTTGGGGCACAGCACTTTGTGGTTCCCATCGCTGTGACCGATCCCATCCCTGGCAGGCAGGCAGGCAGACATACAGACAGCTGATTCAGTGGGGCACTGAGTGCCTGTATTGGTGATTTTGTCCCTGAGTGACACAAAATACAATTCCCCCATGTCAGGATATGGATCAGCTCCTCTGCCAGTGCTGTGTCCGCAGTGACCTGCCATCAGTGACACATTCCACCCACATGCTGGACTGGGTGGAGCCACCTGCTTGACAGCTTGTTCGAGGTCCTTACAGAGCCATTCGTTTCTAAGATAAAAGCAGTAAATCCTGGAACTGTCAAAAAATGAGAAGGGGAACCAGAAGGCCCAGGGATACCCACTTCTGTTTTTGTTGCCTGGATTATGAAAGCATACTCAGACCTGTCATTGCTCTAATACATTTGTAATTGCCCAACTTGCATGTCTCTGGTGGCATTCCAGCTCTTACAACAGCTCTTACTTAATGAGATGCTGGCTGTGTAGCTGTTTTTTTACAGTTTATACACTATTTAGTGCCATGGAAGATAAAAAAAAAGGTAACAGCAGCTGATTTCCCCATTTAAAATAAACTGACCAAACAGCAACCAAGGGAAAAGCTGTTTTTCTAGAAAAACATCCCTGACTTGGAGGGAGGTTTTGGGGTCTGGGAGAAGCTTCATGATGCCCATGGGGCATGGGGTGGGAGAAGGCTGGGGCTGCCCAGCAGTTTTAGCACTGACCCTGGAAAGGTCTTTTCCAACCTAAATGATTTTAGGATGGCTCTGAGCCAGGCTGAGATTTCCTTATGCCCTGGGAGTCCCTGCCTGGTGCGTCCCCACCACAGGGGAAGGCAAGATCAGAGTCCCCATCTCGGTTTCTCTTTTTCTGTTGCACTCTGGGACAGAGGAGTAGGGCGACATCTTCACAGGCATTAAGATGCATCTCCTCGGTTTATCTGAAGTTCTTGCTTTGTCACAGGGGCTGCTGAAGTAGAGATTTCTCTTCTACACAGGCCAGT